GTAAGGTTGTTTCAAGCTAGTTTTGCATACACAAGAAGCAGAGTCCTAGACTCTGAGAAAGAGATTCTCTGGCTCAAAGCCAAACCAGATAAACCAGAATGATCCAATTAGAATTTAGAATAAACTTAAAAACAGAAATACATTTGATCAAAAAGCGCTTATAAAATAAGACTTTACTTATTATTCCAGTTCAACTTTACTACACATTTACCTGCCAGAGACCAGCCTAGACACTTGAACATGCTACTTCATTTAGTAGAACTTAATAAATGCTAAAAACTGCTAGAAATTCCTGATTATTTCCTTAGCGTCCAATGTGGCAGCCACACACTTAAATTAGTTTTGCCACGAGCTGAATTTTTAGTCTCTACCTTCTCATTCCTTTTTTTAAACAGCTTTACTGAGATAAAATTCACATACTATAAATTCATCCATTCGCCACATACAATTCAATGGTTTTTAGTATATTCAGTGTTGTGCAACCATCACCATAATCTGAATGTAGAAGAACATTTGCATTCCCCCCAAAAGAAAGCTTGTACCCACTAGCCCTCATACTCAAACTTGTACTCACTTCCCCTGCCAACTCATCTCACTCTCTGCTGATGGCCCCAGGTAACCAATAATCTACTTTCTGTCAGTACAGATCTGCCTATTCTGGGCATTTCATATAAAGGGAATCACACAATATGTGGCCTTTATAACTGGTTTCTCTCACTTATCATCATGTTTTCAAGGTTCATCCATGCTGTAGCATGTATTAATAGTTACTTATGTATTTTATGAATCAATTCCTTTTTATTGCCGAATGATATTCCATTGTACGGATATACCACCTTTTGTTCATGGCCATTTTGGTTGTTCCTACTCTCTGGCTATTATGAACAATGCTACTACAAACATTCAAGCACAGGTTTTTTTGTGGATGTATGTTTTCATTTCTCTTAGGTATGTACTTAGGGGTGGAAACTCTAGATCTCATGGTAATTCTATGTTTAACATTTTGGAGAACTGCCAGACTATCTTCCATCTCCTCCAGCAACATACACAAGTTCCAATTTCTCGACATCCTTACCAATTTTTTTTTTTACACTCTAGTGAGTGTAACAGGTATCCCGTATTAGCTTTAATTTGCTTTTCCCTAGTATGGAATGATGTAGGGCATATTTTCATGTGCTTATTAGCCATTTGTATAGGTTCTTTAGGGAAATGAAATGGCTATGCAAATCCTTGGCCCATTTTTCAATTACACTGTCTTTTGATTATTGAGTTGTAGGAGTTCCTTATATATTCTGGATACAATCAGATATATGATTTGCAAATATATTCTCCCATTCTGTGGATTGTCTTTCTTACTTTCTTGTGACACACACAAGTTTTTAACTTCTAATGAAATCCACTTTACCTCCCTCCTCCCCCTGCTATGCTTCCCTTCATTCTTATACAGACCCACACATTTTGCCAGAGTGCGGATTCCATGGAAACTGTCTTTGTTCTGGACATAAAGACACACTGTAGCTGAAATCACCTAATGGTTTCAGCTATCCTACTTTTTGCTGAGATTTTATTTCTTACTTTGAACCCTATTACAGACTTAAAAGAGACTAATTTATTTTTATTGTTTCAAAGATTTATTTATTTACCTTAGAGAGACAAAAAGAAAGGGCAGGGCAGAGGGAGAGAGAAAATCTCAAGCAGACTCCCTGCTCACCGTGGAACCTGACACGGGGCTCAATCTCAGGACCCTGAGATCATGACCTGAGCTGAAATCAAGAGTCAGATGCCCAACCGACTGAGCCACCCAGGTGCCCCAAGGGACTAATTTAGAAAAGCTAACTCCTGGTACCAGAATTAACCCAAAAGAAGAGTAATGCAGCGCATCTTAATATGGTCAGAGAGCTTACTGAAAATAAATGTTTCTAGCATTTTCAGAAAAAAAGTCACTCCAATGCTATCTTGAACATATCAGTTATAATGCTGTGGGTTGAACTGTGTCCCCCAAAAAGATATGTTGAAGTTGTAAACCTTGGTACCTGTGAATGTGACCTTATTTGGAAATAGAGTCTTTGCAGATGTACTAAATTTAGATGAGCTCGTTTTAATTAAGGTGGGCCTTAATCCAATATGACTGGTATCTTTATAAGAAAAAAGAGACACTGACACAAGGAGAATGCCATGCAATGATAGAGACAGGGACTGGAGTGACATGTGTTCAAGCCAAAGGACTGCTCACAATACCAAGAGCTAAGAAAACGGTGTGGAAGAGATTCTTCCCTAGAGCATTCAGAGAGAGCATGGCCCTGCTGACACCTTGGCTTGGGACTTCTAGCCCCCAGAACTGCGAAAGAATGCATTTTTCTTATTTAAGCCACCCAGTTTGTGGTACTTTGCTATGGCAGCTCTAGGAAACTAATACATATAATAAACTGAATACTTAAGTTATAATCAAAATTCAACTAGAATACATCAAATTAAGAATACATTCTTAGCAGTTAATTTGTCCTTATATACCTACAATGTGCTTACATTCTCATGTTAAATGTTCATGTTAAAGACTAAGTACGTAATAAAAGACTAATCTTGACAATTTATCTTTGCAAAAAAACAAGAAGACTAAAAAATCCATTTGAGTATTACACTCTGTGGACATGATGATCATCACTGTTAACCAGTGACCTCAGAGAAGTAAACCGGTCTCCTCTATTTTCTGTCCCAAGGCAACATAGCTCCAAGGACCCAAGTGAGCTCAGCTTGTCTGCCTTTTCCCCAATGCTTGGTAGAGGGAGGCCAGGATACCCGAGAAAGTTGAGAGCAGCTCAAATGGCAAATAGAAGCATGAAAGTATCACTGACAATGTTTAATAACATTGTATGGGCTTTTCTGTGCCCCCCTCCCACCCTCAAATTCATTAAGTCCTAACCTCCAGGGCCTCAGAATGACCGTATTTGGAGACAGGGTCTTTACAGTGGTGATTAAGCGAAAATGGGGCCATTAGTGTGGACCCTCATCCAATAAGACTAGTGTTGCAAGAACAGGAAATTTAGACAAAGACCTGGGCAGAGGGAAGACAATGTGAAGACAGAGGGAGAAAGCCAACTACAAGCCAAGAAGAGATGCTGAAACAGACCCTTCTGTCACAGTCCTCAGGAGGGACCAACCCTGCCGACCCCTTGGACACCTTGATCTCGGACTTGCAGGCTCCAGAACTGTGAGAAAATAACGTTCTGTTGTCTAAGCACTCGGTCTGTGCTACTTTGTTATAGCAGCCCTAGTAAACAAATACAACACCACAAAATAAGGAAAGGTATCTCTGACTAAACTCAAGTATCAAGGAGGAACAATGAGGAAAGATAATGGTGGCAACTAGAATTCCTTCTCTCGCATCCTCTTAAAAATATCTGTCCGAAATGAAGCGAATAAACCTTGGTAGCTGTGAATGTGACCTTATTTGGAAATAGGGTCTTTGCAGATGTAGGATCTTCTCTGCAGGAACAGTAGGAAAAAAGGAGAGGAACAGAGCCCACAATCCTGCAGGAATCAATCAGACCACACATGCCTTGCTCAAAAGCCTCCAGAGACTTCCTTCCTCATGCCGACTAAAAGCCACCGTCCCAGCAGTACCAGGAAGGCCCTTTGGAATGGATTGCACCCGTTTTCAGCCACCTAGGCAACTCAGACAATCCCCGCATGCTTCTGCCTCAGAGTTTTTCACCTGTCCTTCCACAGACACCCTCAGGCCCCCAGGTCTTTGCTCCCAGGTCACCCTATAGGTGAGGTCTTCCCGGATGACCCTATCTGAATGCATATCTTCCTCCCCCTCCAGCTGGGCCAGCATTCCCTTCTATACACCCCACCTCACAGCTTTGTTTTTCTCCAGGGTACATATCACCATCTAAAATACTGTTTACTTGATTTGCTCATTGTCTGATTGCCTCCCAGTCTCAATTTGGGGCTTGATGAATGCAGAGATTTTGTTTTGTCTGCTACTGTATCATCATCGCCTCGCTGATGTTGAGTAAACATTTTTTGAATGAACAAATTTGTACAATCTTCCCTCCTGGGCGGAGATTAAGAATTAGTGCCTCTTCCTAGTCTGTTCTTCATCTCCTTTTTACCCAGTTCCTATCTTGGTCAGTGACTCAGACACAAGGAATAGTCCCCAGGCCATGCTTCCTGTTGCCTCTGAGCCACTTAGAAACCTGGGAGCACATTTTAAGGCCCTGGCCCAACTCTTCCTTCTTTTAACACTCTGCTCCCTGATGGGACTTGAGTGGGCCTGGAAGTTTTCACGGAAAGGCCGGTCTACAAGGTAGGGTTGCTTGCCTCTCAGCCACAACTCAAGACCTGCACTCTAAACAGTGACATGACCTTCAACTTCATGCATGACAGGGGTATTCTGGCCCCAGGCCAACTATAAGGGAACTGAGAGCCAGCTTTACACCTTAATTACTCCTACCATGCCTGGGTAAAAATCTCACTTGAAGAGAAACAAATGGGAAAAAAATAGAACTTTTTTTTTTTTTTTAATGTAGAAAGAGGAAAGAAGCTATTCACAATACAAATCTTAACTAAAGGAAAAGGTTGAGGAAATTATGAAACATCAACTCACTGGAGTCATTTAAATAACTATCAAGATTATGTTTCAAGTTAGAAATATTAATGAATATTAAGATTAAATTTTAATGAGAAAAAACTGTAAAATCATGCTTACTTTAAGAACAGAAGCACTCTATACTCAATGATTTCAGCCTTTGAAAAATTATGACAACAGATGAATAAAGTTTAAAGAAACACAGAAATACAAATAGGGGGTTTTGTTAGCATGAAGTTATATTTACTTTCTCTAATGCTGCTGTTATACTATTATTTTAATAAATTGAAAATATTTAAATATAAGCCAGAAGAATGCTCATACTTGCCAACATTCTGACAAAAGAGAAGACCGGGGTAGACCGAGGACCTTTAGAATGTATAACTGAAGAAAACAAATTGGTTCTTACCCTTGTGCCTCTTCAGCTGGGGAAAGCTGCTAATTGTAGTTGCTTGGATTATTTCTACTACAATTTGATACCTGATATTTAAAAAGAGAGAAAAAGGAAAGATCGAATATTTAGAAAATGCTGTTTTCAGAGATACCATTTAGACTGTATTTTGTACTAATCAAATAAAACACAGGGCTCTCTCTCACACAAAAATAAATAAATAAAATCTAAAAAAAAATAGTACCTATTTATCTACTATTTTATATTGCTGTTTTAAAGAGTCAAACTTCCACAAACAGTGCTGTGCACTTAAGAAATAGTATGCCTAGTCCTTTCAGGGCCTAACACTTCTCTAAGAAATAACACACCTTAGCCTAAGATAAAATTGTGGTTTTGTCTATAAGAAAGATATGCTACCTTTTTCTCCCCAACTAAATCATGAGCCTCTCGAAGACAGAGATTGTGTCTTGTACTCTCCTACAGAACCTAGGTTGGCACTAAACACATGACAGGCACTCAGTAAATATTAATGAATATTATGGACTGAATGTTTTGTTCCCCCAAAATTCATACATTGAAGCCTAGTCCCCAATGTGACGGTATTTGGAGCTGGGATCTTCGAAGGTGATTAACCCCTAATAGGTGGTGCCCTCACAAATGAGATAAGTGCCTTTATAAAACAGACCCTAGAGGGGCGCCTGGGTGGCTCAGTCAGATAAGCGTCTGCCTTCGGCTCAGGTCAGGATTCCAGGGTTCTGGGATCAAGCCCCACATTGGGCTCCCTGTTCAGCAGGGAGTCAGTCTGCTTCTCCCTCTGCCTCTCCCCCTGGCTTGTGCATGCGTGTGCGCTCTCTCTCTCTTAAATAAATAAGTAAAATCTTAAAAAAAAAAAAAAAAGACCCCAGAGAGCTCTTTCCATTTTATGAGGTTACAGTGAGAAGGAGGCCCTCTATAAACCAGGAAGTGGCCCTCACCAGACACCCAATATCCAACCCCTTGATCTTGGACTTCGCAGCGTCTGGAAGTGTGAGAAATAAATGTCTGTTGTTTAAGCCACCAGCCTGTGGTATTTTTGTTATAGCAGCCCAAACTAAGACAAGAAGCTACATTAATATACAATAACATCTGTAAAACTAAACAGGTACAAGTAATATTCTGAACAATCTGTTCTTTTGATATTCTTGGTGATTCATGCTCTGGAACAAATGAGTCAACAATGGTACTGAAGAAACACATGCTGTTTGAGTGAAGAGTTAAACTTCTTAAATGAATCCATAAAATTATCATGAAATACCAGGTAACATTTACACAGATTCCTCTCATTCAGTACCAGGTATAGATACTTTCTCTCATTTAATCCTCACAATAGCTATTGTAATTATCCCCACATTACAGAGGAAGAAGTTGTTCAGGTGGATTAAGAAATCTATACAAGGTCTCACTGCTTTTAAGTACTAGAGCCAAAATGATAACCTGGGGCTGCTGATTCTAAAGTTCATGCTCTTGACCACTTTCCTGCTGCCCTAAAATTCAATATGAGTTCATGTTTATCTTGTGTCAGGCCCTCCCAAGGACACAAGCATGGCCAACACCAGATCATCTCTGCAGCCTCACTGCCCTCTAGGTCCCTCTTGGGTACCGTTTTCCTGCCAAACCAGACTGCATGCAATACCCCAACACACACTCAGCTCTTTCCTGACCCCCAGCCTTTGCTCTGTTTCTTCTCCCTCTTGCACACAACCTCTCCCACTTATCTGCTGAAATCCTATTTGTTCCTAAATATCAGTTCATAGCATTCTTCTCTCAGGGTTCTCAGATACCTCTCTTCTACAGGACAGAGTATTTGCTCCTATCCATTTCTTTAGCAATTTGCACTCCACTTCTGATCTTAATATCTTGCTTCCTATTTAGCAATTTATACCCACATGGGTCTCCTATGCTGGACTACTAACACCTCGACAGCAGGGGAATAAATCCAAGGACCCACAACTAATTCATCTTTATGTACACCAAACCCTCCTCACAGTGCCCTGCACATAATAGGTATTTGAAGATGATTATTGAATTTGTAAAATTCACCTTCACTTGATACCAAAAGATGACGTGGGAAATGAGTGACTTTCATTCTCAAAAAAAGCTCACAACATACAGTTGACCACTGAACAACATGGGTTTGAATTATGTGGGTCCACTTATATATGCAGATTTTTTTCGATACAGTACAGTACTATAAATGTATTTTCTTTTCCTTATGATCTTAACATTTTCTTTTCTCTAGCTTATTATAAGTACATAATACATATCACATATAAAACGTGTTGATTGTATATGCTATTGATAAGGCTGCCAATCAACCATAGGCTATTCGTAGTTAAGTGTTAGGGGAGTTAAAATTTATACGTGGACTTCTGACTGCACGAGGGATTAGAATCTCAACCCTACGTTCTTCAACGGTCAACTGTACATCCAAATGCTGGCGGCTATCCTTGCTGGCACAGGGTTCCTAGTCCTCCGGGAGGACTATCTACCCAGCTCTTAGGAATAGTCAGCACTCACTTGGCTTTCTTCATCCAGAGGAGTGCATGGCCTTGCTGGTGCTGAGTTTGGTTCAAGAATCTGGAGGACTGATATTTGCGAACATCCTCTTGATCGGAAGTGCACAAGTATGTGTTTTTCCAAAATGATAATGTAAACTCCAATATTAAGAGGAAGCCACTAACAAGATTTTGGTTCTTTTCCAGCTATGGTGAGATCTTACCTCCAGTATCTCTTATTCCAGGGTCAAGAAAAAGGTCACATGAAGACAGCCATCTCTTGCCCGAGTTATCACCTCACCTCTCTTTAGTTTTGAACACTCAGCTACATTAATAAAGACTCAGGGCAGGTTTGTATTTTTGAAGTCTTCCCACCATCTCAAACTCACCCGAAATGCTACAAAATTAGTCTTCAAAATAATCACCTTAGAAATATATACATTTATTGCCTTTTACTGCCAATTGTTCAGAACTTTGGAATTCTATCAGAATTGACTTCTAAGTTATTTATACACACACACACACACACACACGCACACACAAATATTAGTCTCCTCAATTCTCTACACACATCTTACACAATTTTTTTTTAATTACTATTTTAGATCTGTCTTGGATGTGCACATGCTGGAATGTCTTAGGAGAGTCAAAAGCTGAATAAACCCTCAGGTGTACAATATGGTAAATGGTTTAAAATAGGTTTTATGCTAAAATTAGCAATTACAGGGGTGCCTGGGTGGCTTAGTCAGTTAGGCATCCCAACTCTTGATTTTGGCTCAGGTCCTGATCTCAGGGTCATGAGATTGAGCACCATGTCCAGCTCTATGCTCAGCGCAGAGTCTGCTTAAGATTTTCCTTCTCCCTCTCCCTCTGCCCCTCCTTACCGCGTGAACACGCACATGCACGCGCGCACACACACACACACCCCTACACACACACTCCCTCTCTAAAAAATAAATAAAATAAAATAAAATTAGCAATAACATAGACTAGAATACCATATACATAAACAGGTTTTTAAAACATTTAAAAGTTAAAAATAATGTTTTCAAAGTTGCTACAGGCTACTTTGTGCTAGGCTAGGGACAGTGTTTTCATTTAGAGGGACTTCAGTTACAACATTTGAAAAGAAATAAAGCCATGGTGATTTCAGCTGGCTACGCTAAAGCTGTTTCCCAGCTAAGTGTAGCAGAGTAGTCAAGCATGTGAGCTCTGACACCAGGTGGCCTGTGTTCAAATCCTGCTTCCAACACTTACTGTGTCACCCTGAAAAAATTATTTAAGCTTTCTAAAACTCAAGAGTCCTCATTTGTAAAAAGACTAACCATATTTTTGAATATTATTTCAAAATATTATTTTGAAAATTATTTCAAAAGTAACAGTATTTGTGAATATTAAATGAGATAACAACTTTAAAAAAATTTGGAATAGTGCCCAACCCATAGTGAGAGTTTAATAAATATTAACTATTATTTTTGTCCCTTAACACCGCTGTTGGTTGACCCTTTAGATATGCAGTATTTAAGGAGATGCTGTGTGTGCGTGTTTGTAAAATATATATATAAAAATTTTTAAGTAGCCTTACTTTTCTCCTGATTATAAAAGTATCTCAGCCTAATCAATTTAAGGCCACCAAGGTCACTGAAGTCCAACAAAATAAGGTTTATTGACTCATTTCAATAAGCATGAAGAAACATGGGGTGTCTCCCCAAATCAAGGAAAAGATAGCTTCAATGGGATTCTGGGGAAGTATGGAGTGTAGATGAAATTTTAAATGAAGGAGCATGTTGACAGGTTCAAAGCAGAGCTGTGTAAATCATCATTTCACATAGATCCAGGGTCTCACTTTCCTGGATACTACAAAGTTATAATAAACATGGAATGGTTAGTCCAGAAAACCCCTTATCTGTAGCTCTACTTCTGACTTATATAAATGAGGGGGCTTCTCTGTGTCAAAGTGACTGAAACCCTCCAGGCAAGAATAGGATGTGTCACTCTTACCGAAATAATTTCAAATGGCAAAATCTAAGATTTTAGAGAGCAAAGTTTCTCAGTGAATAAGAAAGCGGTGGTCATTCAAAGAAGGTTATCATTATGACATTTTACAGCTGCTATGCATACTTGGAAAAAAAATATATCATTTCCTGTTAACTTTGTAGCTGGTTTTAGTATCTGTTATTCCAACCTGATAAATGGCTGGGCAGATTTTACTTCCTCAAGCTGAACCCATTTTTACTTTCTCTAAAGTAACATATATTCACTGAAGAAAATGGGAAAATATACAAAGCACGACATTCAAAGTCAATCACACTTAACACTTGGTGAGTATTTACAGACTTCTCTTCAAACAAATTTTTTTGTTTTCTAAGACTGGGTTTATGCTATAAAAGGCCTTAGAGCCTTTTCAATGTATACCATCTTCCATATTATTAAATACTCTGATGCAGCACCACTGTTAAGTGGCACTCCATTGTACAGGTGTGTCGACACCTTTTTTTCACTAAGCCCTAATGGTTACGCATTCTGTTATTTCAAGCTTTTCTCTATTTTAAATA